GTTCTGCTCCCTGCTCTGGCTCTGGTGAATTCTCTCACCCTCCCACGCTTCTGACTGTACCCAGTGCTTATATAAATAAATAAATAAATCTTTAAAAAAAAAGAATTTCAAAGCATATAAAAAAGGCAACACATTCCTCAACATGTCTTATGAGTCATATATCAGTCATGTTCTGATGCTCAAACCTAACCCAGATAATATAAACAAAAAATTGGAAGTCACCTTCACTTACAAATATAGATGGCACAACATCACAATAATAAATCTCAATAAAGCTTTTTTTAAAAAATATTTTTTTATTTATGCATACAAGAACTGGGTACAGGCCAGAGGTGTGATGGGTGAGAAGATTCACCAGAGACAGAGTGGGGAACAGAACAGGCAGATCAACGGAAACACACTGCTGAGGGGAGCAGTTGGTGAGGCAGGAGAGGTCTGTTGCACCATGTGGGTAGCTCCCTGGCAGAGGATTGAACTCGTGCTGCAGTGGCTGTGGGTAGCTTCATAGGTTACATCTTAACCCCTTGAGCCACCAGGGAGGCCCACAAATAAAGTTTTTTTTTAAACCTCTTTAGCAAGCCTAACATGAATAGGCAGTTATAGAAAATACAACAAATACCAGTAAGACAAAACTGCAAGAGGAATTCAAGGCACATACAACAGAGAGAAGTGTTACCATGCTCCTCACATCTACAGGAAAAACAGTGCCATTAGCTCAATGCAGTCGAGAGAGTCTACAGAACTAAAAAATGATTACCAGTTAAACTCTTTAAAAAAGGGGCACAGATTGAGGAAGAATATGTCTTTCCTCTTTCCCTTTGCAAGTTTATTTTTTTAACTGACTCGATAATACATTTTTACAATTAAGAATTAGTATAAAAAATACTTCCTGTTTCATTAAAAACAGAAATTAGTCAACAATACCAGCATAAAACTTTTTTTTTTTTTTTTATAGAGGCATGCTTTATTTATTTGTTTGCTGGTTTGTTTGTTTGTTTTGTTTATACATGCACTGGGTACAGTCAGAAGCGCGGGAGGGCGAGAGAATTCACCAGAGCCAGAGCGGGGAGCAGAGCAGGCAGAAGGACCGAAGCACACTGCTGAGGGGAGCAGCGGGCGGCAGGAGAGTTCTGCGCGCCATGTGGGACCCTCCTCTGGTGGCCGGGGAGCAGCCGGGGATCGAACCGGCGCCGCAGAGGCCGCGCGCAGCTTCGCAACCCAGCGCTCAACCGCTGCGCCACCGGGGAGGCCCCAGCATAAAACTTTTATTTAGCAAATTTTATTCCATATCTCAATCAGAAAAATATTGGAATAGTTTAGAAAAACTATGGGATAAATTTTAGGTTTTTAAGTCAACTGCATTTCTGTGTCAAAGACATCATAGAAAACTAAATAAAAACATAATTCATTTTTCTGGGCCTCCCCGGTGGCACAGCAGGTTGAGCGCAGGACTGTGAAGCTGTCCATAGCCTCTGCAGCGCCGGTTTGATTCCCAGCCCGCCAGGGAGATTCCCAGATGGCGCGGCAGACCTCTCCTGCCTCGCCTGCTGCTCCCCTCAGCAGTGTATTTCAGTCCTTCTGCCTGTTCTTTTTTTTTATTTTTTAGATTTATCTATTTATGCATATAAGAACTGGGGTACAGGCCAAAGATGTGGTGGTGTGGGAGGATTCACCAGAGACAGAGTGGGGAGCAAAACAGGCAGATCGACTGAAATATACTGTTGAGGGGAGCAGCGGGCGAGGCAGGAGAGGTCTGCTGCACCATGTGGGTCACCTCCCTGGCTGGGGATGGAACTCATGCTGCAGTGGCTACAGACAGCCTCATAGGTTGCGTCTTAACCCCCTGCACCACAAGGGAGGCTCCCCTTCTGCCTGTTCGGCTCCCTACTCCGTCTCTGGTGAATTCTCTCACCCTCCCACACCTCTGGCCTGTACCCCAGTGCTTGTATAAATAAATTTTTTTTAAAGATTTTATTTCTTTTTATACAATCACTGGGATACAGGCCAGATGCGCAGGAGGATGAGAGGATTCACCAGAGACAGAGCGGAGTACAGAACAGGCAGACTGACGAAATATACTACTGAGGGGAGCAGCAGGCGAGACAGGAGAGGTCTGCTGCGCCATGTGGGATTCTCGCCGGCCGGTCAGGATCGAACCCGCACTGCAGAGGCTGCGGACAGCTTTACAGCGAGGCACTCAATTGCCTGTGCCACCAGGGAGGCCCTAAATAAATAAATATTTTAAAAAACATTCATCTTCCTTTTCTAATAATAAAAAGCATTTAATAGGAGTATTAAATTAATTTTTTCATTTTTAAATACAAGTGTTATTTTTAAAGAAAAAGTCCCTGAAGAAATCTTTCTAGAGCTTAAGAAAGTGATAGTGAAATTCATCTGAATAAGTGGGCACAAAAAACTTTTAATAAAGACTTTTGAAAGCAGACACACACCTTTTAATACCTACTAGAGACAATTTTCAAAGAGGCTTAATTTCAAGAAATTTGCATATTAAAAAACAAACTACATAAAGAGAAAGAAATATTACTTTTCAGGAGCTAGTGTTTTTCAGGTATCAATATAGAGACAAGTCACAATAAAACACTATGACAAGGGCCTTCCTGGTAATGCAGGAAAGGGGTTAAGGCTCAGCACTATCCAGCTATCTGTAGCACAAGTTCAATCTCCTGCCAGGGAGCTAACCCACAAGTCACAGCAGACCTCTCCTGTCTTGCCCGCTGCTCCCTCCAGCAGTGTATCTCAGTCAATCTGCCTGTTCCGCTCCCCACTCTGTGGTGAATCCTCTCACCTACTCCTGCACCTCTGGCCTACACCCTAACTCTTGTATGCAAAAAAGAAATAAACCTTAAAAAAAAACACATTATGACAAGTTCTATGTGTCAAAACTTTAAACACATTTTAAAAATTATTTTAGGGGCCTCCCTGGTGGCACAAGGGGTTAAGCACCATACCATGAAGCAATCTGAAGCCTCTGCAGCATGAATTTGATCCCCGGCCAGCCAGAGAACAACCCACATGGCGCAGTAGACCTCTCCTGACTCGCCCGCTGCTCCCCTCAGCAGTGTATTTCAGTCCATCTGCCTGTTCTGCTCCCCATTCTGTCTCTGGTGAATCCTCTCAACCCCCACATCTCGGGCCTGTATCCCAGCTCTTGTATGCATAAATAAATAAATCTTAAAAAAAAAAAATTATTTTAAACGAGGAAAAAAAAGAGCAAAAAATAGCAACTCTAGAGCAGTGAGGAAGAAAATACATTTCTGAATTCTGAAGAACTCAGATGCTATCAAGACAAAATAAGGGCCTCCCCGGTGGCACAGCGGTTGAGCGCTGGGTTGCAAAGCTGCCCACAGCCTCTGCAGCGCCGGTTCAATCCCCGGCCACCGGTGAGGGTCCCACATGGCACGCAGACCTCTCCTGCCGCCCGCTGCTCCCCTCAGCAGTGGACTTCGGTCCTTCTGCCTGCTCTGCTCCCCGCTCTGGCTCTGGTGAATTCTCTCACCCTCCCGTGCTTCTGACTGTACCCATTGCTTGTATAAATAAATAAATCTTTAATTAAAAAAAAATTTAAAAAAAAGACAAAATAAGAACATTCCAAGATGTTGTTCAAATAACACTGCATTCATAAATACACTCTCCAATTCTCTGCTTCCTCAACTCAAAAAAAATTTTTTTAAATGAGGGCAAAATAATTGCTCTTTCCTATGAAGATATCAGCTTCTGTTACTTGAATTGTCTCCACTGCACCAATTAAGTTCCTGCTTCCTACCTGCCATTAGCTTGCCTTTATCTTTACAACCCCTTAGATAAAACAGGTGTTCCACAAACGTTTCTTGAACTGCTGCATACTTGAATACAGAACAAATGTTTCTGAAGATAAAATATTTTTCAAGATCAAGATGTAGAGAAATAGCTATGAACAAATACAGTGATAGAAATCTTACTTTCCAAAAATAGTAAATAATAAGATTGATACCATTTTTTGATAAGAGACTTAGGATAAGGAACTGATTCTGTACACATAAGAAAACAGACAGTAAATGACATCCTAATCATTAAAAAATGTTCATTTTCACACAACTGTGCACAACTATAAAATTATTAACAAATATGTTAAACCCAGTTTTGATGGAAGAACATCTATAGATCACTGCTAACTAGCTCCAACATTCTAAAGAACAATCTGCTTGACAACATGTGATGGCCAGTCCATGGTCTGCTTCTGAACTTCTACTTCAGGGAACAGACACCAAAATTTCATCGTCCCTCACTTTTCACAGGGTCCTTCTTCCCTGCTTTATTTCTAGCGCTTACCACAATCTAATGCTATAGATATTACCTCTCAATTGTGGTGCAGGTAGGGACCTGTTTTGTCACTGTCATACCCTCAGTGCTTACAGCAGTGGCGTTTGTTGAATGAATGTATAAATGGCCTAAGGAAACAAGTACTTGTCCTTACTTTCAAACAGGTGAGTACATAAAATTCATATCAGAATTATTTATAATTACTAAAACCCAACTATGTGCCCAGAGAACAGCTAAGAAATTTGAATAAAACAACACATACAATGCTAAATAGCTATTAAACATTAAAGAGTTCATGAAAACATTTAAAATTAAGTGAAGAAAAAAGATAGCAACATTCATACCATGTAAAAAATTTTGGGGACAACTGTCCCTTCAGAAATATAGCTCAGGGCCTCCCCGGTGGCGCAGCGGTTGAGCGCTGGGTTGCGAAGCTGCCCGCAGCCTCTGTGGCGCCGGTTCGATCCCCGGCTCCCCGGCCACAGGAGGAGGGTCCCACATGGCGCGCAGACCTCTCCTGCCGCCCGCTGCTCCCCTCAGCAGTGTACTTCGGTCCTTCTGCCTGCTCTGCTCCCTGCTCTGGCTCTGGTGAATTCTCTCACCCTCCCGCGCTTCTGACTGTACCCAGTGCATGTGTAAACAAAACAAACAAACAAATAAATAAATAAATAAAAACATGCCTCTGTTTAAAAAAAAAAAAAAAGAAATATAGCTCAAATGAAGGTTATATAAATACTGAAGAATTACTAAAAGAATCACTGGGTTTTTAATACTACTTTCTCTTACACTCAAAATGTTCAAAAATTCTATCAGGTCTGCAATATTTTAAGAATAAAAGCAGAAACTAGTTCATTGGAGTAATCAACACAAAGATCTGATTAGAGGAGAGGGGTGATAAATTGTTCTCTTTTAAAAAGACTAAAAATAGGGCCTCCCTGGTGGCGCAAAGGGTTAAGCATAGCACTATGAAGCTATCGCAGACTCTGCAGTATGAGTTCAATCCCCATCCCCAGCCGTCCAGGGAGATACCCTCATGGTGCAGTACACCTCTCCTGACTAGCCAGCTGCCCCCCTCTGAAGTGTTTTCACTCAATCTGCCTGTTCTGGGCCTCCCTGGTGGTACAAGGGGTTAAGACACAACCTATGAAGCTATCCGCAGCCACTGCAGCATGAGTTCAATCCCCAGCCAGGGAACTATCCACTTGGCGCAACAGATCTCTTCTGACTCGCCCGCTGCAACTCTCAGCAGTGTATTTAAGTCAATCTGTTCTGCTCCCCACTCTGTCTCTGGTGAATCCTCTCACCCTCCACACCTCTGGCCTGTACCCCAGTTCTTGTATGCATGAATAAATAAATCTTCAAAAAAATTTTTTTAAAAAAGAGTAAAAATAACAAAATAAATGTTAAATTAACTAACAGATGAAACTTACCTAACTCACTGCAAAGCAGTGCTTTTTTACATTTTATTTATTTTTAAAGTCAAATTCACTCTGGTATAATTTACATACTATAAAACGCACCTCATTTCAGAGAACTGCCCTGGTGTCCACTTGGAAGTGACTGTGACTGAGGGGCTCAGTGTTGCAAGATGGAACCCAGAGGATGCAGGGTAAGAGCTCCCTTTCTTCACAGGTAAGGGAGATGTCAGCTCCTCACTAAGATTCCACACTGCCTGGCAGCAAGAAAAGCAGATGAGGGATCCAAATGAAAGTCTCATGAGACCAAGGTCAGGGTATTGGGCCCTGATGACTACATCTCATCAACACATGGAATCAGGAAGACTCAAAGTTGTGAACTCGGAAGGGAGTTTCTGGTTTCCACAAGGGTCAGTGACCAATCAGGACTTTAGAGTCAGGTCTCCATTACCCATAGCTGGCTCTGCAGCGTTGTGCATGCTTACAGATCTCTGGATTTAAGGGAAAACAGCTGTGCAGGAAGAAGCTGAAAATTAAATGAGACAATTCATGGGAAGCCAGGATGTGGGAACACACTTTATACCAGTCATGATTATCTTAGTTGTCATCCTGAATGCCTGGTAGCCGCACTCTGGTGGTTAGCAGAGTCAGATCCACTCTGGCACTGACACACACAACAAAACAAAAAGGGCAGTTAGAGTTAAAGCTTATTGACATGGAACATTCCAAAGGACTCCTTCCCCTGGGTTCAGGATGCAAAGGCAGCAGAGATAGGATGGCAGAGTTCTCAGTGAGTTCTCTGAACAGGGCCCAGGGAAACAAAGGCACCACCCCCAGGTCACAGTGGGGCTGTGAGGTCAGCCTGCGCTACCACCACAAAGGTGAAAAGATCCATTTCTGCTCAGCTGCTTTATCTTTCACATCTGAGAACAGTCCAAGATGGCTTCAGTTGTCCCTAAGTCAGGTCACAGGACAGCAGGAGACATTCCTTTGGCAAAAAAGGACACGCTTTTGTCCTGTATCTTGTACTGGTAAGTGAGGCTCCGATTCCATTGGGTTGTGTGCTGTGGTGGTCTTCTCCACAGGATCCTCAGCTATAGTGACAGGAAGAAGAATGAAAGAGGGGTGCAGACCCTCTCCCCAGGACCCCATCATGAACCTTACCTGCCTCTCTATGAGATCACAGCCTCATGCCCCATATAGTGATGGGACCAATTTCCAAAAGAAAGCTTATTATCAGTTAACTAAAAATAAAAAGCTCCTTCTCCTTCTTAACAATAGTGATATTAGTAGTCACAGAAAATGTGAAAGAGAAGGAGAAAGAAGAAAAGTCATCCAGAGGAAAAGAACATTTTGTATGTCTTCCCCTTTGGTCTTTTTGCTAAGCATGGTTTTGTTCTTATTAGCCAGACTAACTTTGAAAATCAATACAACAGAATTTGTACATCAATTCAGAGGTTCAGGAAGGCTGGACACGATGTCTCCATGGACTAGAATGCTCAGAGGGATTGGTTTCAGAGCCAGCCTACAAGCTGCCCAGCAGAACCTTCTCTCACTGTGCCCACAGGCACCTGCAACACAGCATTTCTGAGTATGCTTCTTTATTTTCCGTACTTGTACCTACATGACTCTGGGCCAAAACTCCAACCTACCCTTAAAGAGTCAAGAGTGGTCAACATGAAGCTGTGGAGGAGGCTTTAGGGTGATTCCAAAAGAGAAGTTTCAGGACAGGAGTCACTTGGTAAGGGCAGTACCCCAAATGTTCTGGTCAGAGACAACAACAGCCCTAGTCCACAAGGATGGCTTCCCCAAGTCTCTATTGTAAAAGTAACAGTGTCTGCCTAAATCTACAAAGCCTGCTGTGACAATACAGAGTAAGTGTCTTGCTTGGGAGCAGGTCATGATATTTTGTTGCAGAGGTTGGTCTCTTCTTCAGGAGCTCCACTTTGGTCCCAAAACATGCAGGTGGAAAACCTGCACTGGAGTACAAAGCTAAGCATATCTGAAATAAGCACTGACTTGCATTCACACTATTTCCAAGATTTCCCTTCCACCCAAATGAACATCACAACCAGACAACCCTTTAGCCCAACATTATCCCATGTGCTGTCTGGATTGGGGCACAGAGGCCACCAGCTTGCTGCACAGTAAGCCCCTAATCCTAGCCCCTGCGTACCTGCCCATGCACATCCCTGCAGAAGCCAGTGGCCAGACCCTCAGCTCGAAGGATCAGGTGGCTCTGGTGACTGAGGCCATTTAGCAGGAGGTCGTTCTCTTCATCCTCGGCGTCTCCACTGTCATGCACAAGGGCCACTATGTTTCCCTGCAACAGAGATATAGATGAATACCTGCTCATGACTGCAAGGGACACCAAGGTCAGGGAGCAGTGAGTTTGCGGTGCCTCCCCTGCACATCCTCTCACAGATCAGCCTCGCTGCTACTGAGGCAACCAACTCGTTTGTGGGAAGGACCCTTGCCTCGGCTCTAGAACAGGAATTCCCATCATTTGCTAGACAGTTTTAACAGCACTTCCAAGCTACACTTCAAGCTCAATTCATCTAATACCATGCTCAGTCTGCCTTAATGCTATTAAAAAGTAACACTATTTCTCCAAGCACCAAATCCATGCAGTCAATAGTTCCTAAGAGCTCTTCTGTGTGCCAAGCCCCACAGCGGGCAAAAGAGGTGAGACACAGGCCCTGGAGACAGATACTGACAATACCTGATACCAGGTGAGAGGAAAGTGCAGGCTTCTGGGAAAGCACAACACAGAGGCATCCTGTCCAGTCTGGAGGAGAGGGTCAGGTGTGGGCATAGCTGAGCTGAGGTCAGAAGGGCAAGCAGAAGTCAGCCAAGCAACAGAGAGGAAGGTCAACCCCACTAAAATGGAATGCCTTGAATAAGTCCTTACAAAGAAATTGCTTAAAAAAAAATAAACCAGATTTGTGTATTCTGTTTTTGGACAATGGACACCAAGATACACTGTGCTATTAAGAAAGAAGTATTGGGTCTTCCCAGTGGCGCAGCGGTTGAGTGCTGGGCTGCAAAGCTGCCTGCAGCCTCTGCAGCGCCCATTTGATCCCCAGCCACCAGCGAGGGTCCCACATGGCACGCAGAACTCTCCTGCCGTGCCCACTGCTCCCCTCAGCAGTGTATTTTGTCAGTCTGCCTGTTCTGCTCCCCGCTCTGGCTCTGGTGAATTCTCTCACCCTCCCATGCTTGTATAAAAAAAATAAAAAACTTTAAAAAATAATAAAAAATAAAAAAAAGAAAGAAGTATCAAAGAGCGTGGACCGTAGGTGACAATAATTTGAAGGAAATGCAATGAGAGGACTATACACACAAATGTGTTCAGAATCACAGGGACTCTCTGGAAGGATAGACACTGGAAGGAAAAGACAACTTTTGTTATTTTACACCGTTTCTTTTTATTTTATACCTTTAAACTGTTTTTTCTTCTTCTTTCTTCTTTTTTTTAAAACTATTCCAAGTTTTACTTTTTCAACTAAGAGAAGTATTTTTACAAAGAGAAGGTGATAGTGGGCTAGAACAGCTGAGCTGCAGACAGTGGCTGTGACTACTTTTCTCACCCCAGACCCTGCTGAGCAATGTCCTCCAAGCCCCTCACACATCCTCTTCCTTCCACTCTCTCCATAGCACCACGGCTCCTGGCCCTATGGCTGCAGGCAAGATGGCTTCAGAAGTTCCCAGCAGGACTGTGCACACAGGAGGTGCTCACTCAGTAAGCACTGCCAGATGATCGCATCCCTGGGTGCTCATCTCTCCCACTGCTCTGCACTCAGCTGGACCACACTGTGCAAATGTCCCCAGGTTCCTACCAGCTGTACCATCCATATTGAAGAGTGGCAACTGGGGTGAGATGCTATGCTGGCATGTTACAAGTTTCACCTCACTTAACTCTGGCAGTTGGGTTCCTGCGGGGTAGATACCATAGTCAAGCTATTCTTATTTTACAGGTTGATCTACTATTATTAAGATCTCTATTTCGGGAAAATCTCTTTTTTTTTTGCTTCATAATTTGACTTTATTATAACCTTTACTGATTATATCCTATACTTGTGTTGCACCTCCCAACTTTTTAAAGCAGTTTACACCCATTATCTCAGCTGATCTTCAAAAACACCTAGGACAGGGCTTCCCTGGTAGCATAGGTGGTTAAGCACCACACTGTGAAGCTGTCTGCAGCCTCTGCAGCACGGGTTCGATCCGAGCCAGCTAGGGAGAAACCCACATGGCGCAGCAGACCTCTCATGTCCCACCCGCTGCTCTTCTCAGCAGTGTATTTCCTCAGTCTGCCTGTTCTTTTCCCCACTGTCTCTGGTGAATCCTCTCACCTTCCTGCGCATCTGGCCTGTACCTGGTTTTTTTATAAATAAATCTTAAAAAAAAATAAAACAAACACCCAGGACACATGGCAAAATGTGGCTGAGCTAGACTGACAAGCCCCCAGCCAAATAAAAAAAAAAAATCACTGCAAGCAAGATGTGGAACTCTTAAACGGTCACAGGCAGGAGCAAAGAGGGCAGCCCATCAGTACCTTTAGTTCGGAGCACACAGAGGCTCTGCAGTAGTGGATGAAGTCCAGCACAGCCACTGCCCTCATACCCAGACTCAGCAGCACACTGAGGTCGTCCACCAGCAGCACCAGGCACCTCCACACAGCCTCCCGACTGTCCGTGGGCTGAAGGGCCTTCTGCACAAACTCATATAGCGGCTGCAGGTTTCCAGCATTGGCCTCCCTGGGACACAAGGCAAAAGTTGCCAGTTAACTCTCTCTGCAAGTATTCTTCTGAGACCTTGCAGCACCACATAAAAGGGCTGGGGGGAGGCAAGATCACAGCTGTGGGGGATCTCAGTCCGTGGTAACAAAGGTTTCACAATCTGGTGAGAAAGAAAAGGCATGCATGTGCACTTGAAGAAGTTGTACTTCAAGTCATATATTCCCCCAATGCCTACTAGGTGTAAAGCACTGTGCTAGAAATTGGGGGACACAAAAAAAAAACTGGCCCTGGCTTCTTAAGAGATCCCATACAGCCTCTCGATCCAAGAGCTTAGGGCATCTGGAAGTTTACTTGGATTGGGCAAGCAAGAGAAGCCTTCCCAGGAGGTCCAAACTCAGCATAAAAAGCTAAATCGCAATCAGGTATCCTACGGTGGAGGTAGTGACCTAAGGTGCTTGTGTACATAACAGATTCAACCTGTTTCTGACACAAGCTGGCCCAGCTATCTCTGTCCCCCCAGTGACTACACTCAGCAGCTGTTTTCCAACTATAGTTGGGGGCTCCAAAAGCACCTGAGAATAGACCCAGAGATGTGCTCCCTTGCCCCACACTCCAGGGTTAAACCCTATGAGCAACAAGGACAAAACTCCCCACAACCCAGGGTCAGGCGTCACCAGGCCCATCATTCATATGAAGACAGGTTCAGAGATGGTAGGGGCTGTGTGCCGGGTTACACAGACAGGGTCATGACTCCACACTGCCTCCCAGTGACCGCATGAGGCTAAGTCAGAGAGAGGGAGCAGTGGGAAGAATTCCTAGGGACCCCCTTGTGGTGGAGGAAGAATGGCAGTCAGGTGCTGAGTCTGCACAGAGCTGTTTGTGGCTTATGCTCATAAAGTATAAGCAGCAGAAAAGACAACCTCAGGATACCAAAATAGCAGTCAACAAACTTTCTCAAAGGGTCAATAGTAAATATCTTAGGTTTGTGGGTCATATGGTCTCTGTCTCAATGACTCTGCTGTTATGGAGCAAAAACAGCCAGGGACAAAATGCAAACAAAGGAATGTGGTGTGTTCCAATACAGCTTTATCACAAAAACAGGTAGCTGACAGTTCCTAGTTTGCTGACACCTGTATCAAGCCAAGAATGGAACAAAAGTGTTAGGGCTCTTAGCCAGGGCTGGAAGAAACAGCAAAGCATGCTGTTCTGCCATACTCCCGGTAAATAAAACTACAGTACTGGAGAGATTTAGCTACTCTTTGGCCCATGATACAAGTCAAAGACTTTCCAAAAGTGCTGCAAATGCAGGGATGTGTCTGAACCCTGAAATCAGCTCTGCCTGCCACACACCATGGAGAAGGAATCACAGAGCAAACCTGGACTGGGCCCATCTGCCAGTGTGCACTTCTGGGCTGGGCTGCAGGCTGACTGACCTGAGAAACTGCAGGGGGTGTGGCTCCTCCTGAGTCTGGAAGAAGACGTCCAGAGAAGACCTGACACCCTCCAGGAACACAAGCTGCCCGCGTTCCCGCGCTGTGGTCAGGCTGACACCCTAAAAGTGACGGCGTGAGTTACTGCACATTGCAGGGAAATCCATCAGAGAAGACAGATTCCAACTCACAAAAGTTCACAACAAACTCCACACCCTGTAAATGCACACCTGTGCACCCTAAGTGCGGGGCCCACGTCTTCTTTCTCTGGAGTGGTTGCCAACCCATGGTCCCCATCCTGTTTTCAGATACATATATAAAAGTCACATTTTTTTAATGTGTTTATTTACCTATTTTGCTTATTTACTTATATGATTATCCAGTAGTAGTTTTTTTTTTTTTTTTAAATTTTATTTATGCAAGAGCCAGGGTACAGGCCAGAGATGTGGGGGGGAGGACCGTGTGAGAAGATTCACCAGAGACAGCAGGGAAAAGAACAGGCAGACTTACTGAAATACATTGCTGAGGGGAGCAGCAGGCGAGACAGGAGAGGTCTGCTGCGCCATGTGGGTGTCTCCCTGGCCGGCTGGGATCAAACCCGTGCTGCAGAGACTGCGGACAGCTTCACAACGCTGCGCCACCGGGGAGGCCCTGATCAGAACTTCTTAAATATGTTTTTTCATGAACCACCCAATTAAGAATCTCAAGAAGGGCCTCCGTGGTGCCACAGGGGCTAAATTCTCAGCACTATCAAGCTATCACCAGCCACTGCAGCACTAGTTTGATCCCCAGCTAGGGAGCTAACCCACATGGCACAGCAGACCTCTCCTGTCTCGCCCGCTGCTCCCCTCAGCATTGTATTTCAGTAGATCCGCCTGTTCTGTTCCCCACTCTGTCTCTGGCGAATCCTCTCACCTCCCACACCTCTGGCCTATGCCCCAGTTCTTGTATGCATAAATAAATAAATCTTAAAAAAAAAAAATCTCAAGATACCTGATTGAAATGTACATGCCTACTCAAAACCTCTAAAACCAGAAGCTTTGGGGGCAGAGCCCAAGAATCTGCATTTCAACAAACATCCAGGGATGTGTTTGTGACACCATCTAAATATGGAACCCAATGTTCTATCTGTGCAAAAACAGATCACATGAAACTCTTTTTATTCCTCACGTCCTTAGCCTAGGTCTCAATGGCTTGTTCACACCCAGTGTCCTCCACTATGCAGCAACATTAGCCTCAACAGCCACCCTTAACAGATAGACTCCTGATCACTACCTTTGCTCTTGTTCATTACCAGTCTACCGACATAAGTACAAGGGTATAGAAGCTCACACCCTTGTACTTCCCATGCCCAGTACTCTACATGCCATTTCTGTTGCACTGATTATGATTCAAAGGTAATAGAAAAAGTAGCCAATCTGAACTTGACAGTCCATAGCTTTCTATCTAGAAACACAGATGCTAGGGCCACAGAGACAAGTTTCACAGACCTAGACTCTAACATGTATTCTTGACAAGACTGCTCTCCCTAGCTCATGCTCTGATATCTAACACAGGAACTTCGTCCTTCTCTGCAAAGGATGGAAAAGGGAATCTAGCTTCCTCTCATGCTCTCATTTGTCTCTCCCCAGAGAAACAGCAGAGAAGCAAAAATGACTTGGTCCAACAATAAGATTAGCATGTCAAAGATCATTGCTGATGGGTGGTCTAGCTCTCTCCCTCTCTGAGGCTGATTAAAAATAAAAGCCCCAGGAAATACATCCAGCTACAGGTCACAGGTGAGGGCCCAGACTAGGCCAGGAGATTCACTGGTCTCTTGACCATCTTATTTTTGCCTCCCTGTATTGAATGAGATGAGGGTAAGCCAAGATAAATAAGGTGAGGAACAGGTGACAAAAACACTTATTCCTACATTTGGGACCCAAACCCTAAATCTGACAATAGACCAAGCTGTGATATCTAACCCAAAAGGCCCAAGACTAAAGCCCAAATTAAGGAGAAAATCTTATGTGGCCTAGATTCTGTAGAGGTGGGTCTGATCAATAATAGATCTATTTCTACAAACTCTAAGTTAACAGAACATGCAGAGATGCTGTCTTAGTCCATCAAAGAAGGGGTTCAGGATCCCATCATTTCCCAAGTCTCACATTTGCTAAGTTCTCTACAATCCCAGTCTTATACCATGCTCAAGTGCCTGGCACACACACAAACACTCAGACCTCTCACCACAGAGGTCTAAAATATTTACCAACTTCTGTCCCACGATATTGTAGTGACTGAAGGACTGAACGAGTGCCACAAAGCAGACTTTACAATTAGCTGGAAAACAAAATAAATGGAATTTTAATAAAGTCCCTGCTTACAACCTGTCTCATACACTTCAAATCTCTGGAAACAAAAGCACTGAGACAAGTCTTGAGATCCAGAGGCCTCACAGCCTGAGAAACTCTTGATTCTGAGATGCACTTCTCTTCATGTTTCTATACCTTCAAGTAGCTATACCTTATTTCACTATTCCGAAATGTACTTCTGCTAGATGTACAGTGTTGCTTTTTAAACTATATTTTCAAAGTATTTGTTGGTGGTGTACAGGAATACAATTGACCTTTAAACATTTCTTATTATTTTCCCCTGCTTTTATCTCTCTCTTCTTATATCTAAGAGGATATAAGGGGAATAAAGAAGCTCTAGGTACTTTACTGAAGAGAATGAATTCTAATAATTAATCTGGAGATTTTCTTGCTCTTTCTTTTACCATCATGAAATCTTGTCTCTAAACTTATAGAGCCAGTTCTCTTATTCTTTCCAGGCTAACAATAAATTCACCTGAAAATAGAAAAGAAAATAACTTTTAAAGTTGTAAATTATTATGACTAAGAGTACCAAAGGTCCAACATGTATCCTGGCCTGTCTCAGTTGGTGCTCAAAGAAAATCAATTGACAGATTAGTCTTTATTTGATTGTGTCCTTCTCTTCATCTATTTCCATTTGTAAACTGCATGGCCATGTTGTTTTCTTCCTTGTGTTATTCAAGAAGCATCTATCGCCAGTGCCCAGAGACTTCAAGATACACAAGGACAGGGGGGCAACTAAAGAAGAAGGCCACATAAGGACCTCAGTGAGGTAGTACCAGAGTAGTGGGTGGAGAACGAGAAGGTAGCACCTATACACATTAAGTGAGCACATGTCATTCTTTGGCAGGATTGGAGGGGGAACACAACAGTTCGGTAAACTGTTATTGGTATACATCAACATTCTAGTTAATTAATACTATTCCCACTGCTTCTGAAACAGGTTCTTTATCTTTTGCCTTGGGTTTCTTTCCCTACAGCATCAATGAGTCCCATACCTTTGAGGTAGAAGGAGAGAAAATGGTGCACAAGAAAACTGCCATCTGTTTTGTCATCACAGAGCAGAGTCAGTTTGCCCTGAAAGTTAAAAACACAAAAATGTGAATTTGACTCCCTGGAAAGAGGTCAGCTGAGTGTAGAAATCTAGTCATTATGTCCATTCCCAACTTTCAATACCTGAAGAGTATTTTTTAAATTGTATATATATGCTATATTTACCAAAGAAAACAAGTCAAACTTATGGAAAAGTCAATTTTAAAATAATCAGTATCATGAAGTCACTTATGATAGGCAAGATAGCTCAGCCTCCACTTTCTCAAAAAAGAAAAAAATTGGGGCCTCCTTGGTAGTGCAGGGGTTAAAGTCTCAGCACTATCAAGCTATCACCAGCCACTGAAGTATGAGTTCAATCCCCAATCCCTGGTCGGGGAGCTGACCTACATGGCACAGCAGAAACCTCTCCTGCCTCTCCCTCTACTCCTCCCCTCAGCAGTATATTTCAGCAGATCTGCCTGTTCTACTCCCCACTTGGTGAATCCTCTCAGATCCTATACCTCTGGCCTACACCCCAGTTCTTGAATGCATAAATAAATAAAAGTAAATCTTGAAAAAAAATAATCCCTTCTCTTCCATACTCCTCAGTAACTCAGGGACCATCCTGGGGAGAATTAGATCCTAAACAAAGGGGCTTTTACCATCAGACTCTCAGACTGCCAGGATTGGAAGGACCTTCTAAAAGGTCACCTGCAGCACTATTTACAATAGGTAAGATATGGAAACAGCCCCAAAATAGATGACTAGATCAAGAATATGTAGTATATATACACAATGAAATATCATTCAGCAATTAAAAACCATGACATTAAACTCATGCCATTCACCGCAACATGGATGGAGCTGGAAGGGATTATCTCAGTGAAATAAGTCAGAAGGAAAGAAAAACACCAGATGGTGTCACTTATAGGAGAAATATAGGGGAACCAAATTAGGGATCAGAGAAAAAAAAAAAAGAGAGAAAAAACTACCAGGAAACTATAACTTGGTGACAATCAACAGGGGAGGGGAAGGGAGATAGATTAAAACAGGGACAGGAAGAACACAGGAGACTATGGTGATGGTTCACTGGTGACTTGGTGCTGGGAACTCTATGGGGACTATGCCTGAGAAGAGAAATCAAACATTGTACAAAAAATGAACAACGATGTAAAATATATATATTTTTTTTTAAATAAAAAAATTAAAAGGTCATCTGATCCAACTTCCTATTTCTAATTCTCATAACAATTTTATCCTACAGATTGAGGGAGAGGGAAGAAGTAGTACATAAAAGAGACCTCCAGAAACAAAATCTCCTCCTAGTGGCCCTGGATACTCTTCAGTGATGATAAATAATCTTGGAAATGTAAGAAGGTGGTCCCCAGGAAAAGGGGAGGTTCCAGGTTCCCTGCCTCACCGAACGCAGGGTGGAGCTGAGCAGGGAGAAGCAAGAGCTGAATGAAGCGAAAATATATTATTAAGCAAATGAATATAATAAAGATTCCAGCAGAAGTTCCAGCCCAGGTGCAATGAACATTCCAATGAAGACATAATCAACAAGTTTGCTTACTTACAGCTGATTCCCTTTAAAGATTCATGGCCAGGTCCTCAGCACTCTTATCTACAAGGTCGGGCAGCCAACCAGCTGGTCTATCTCTCCAAGGCCATTCCCAAATGCCTGCATCTAACCCCCCTTGCCTTGCCAGACTTGTCTGGGGACTTTGCCACAAATGGTTGTGCCTGCTGAAAAACAATGCTATCAATGTAACAGATACGGAGACAGTTGTATATAAAAAGAACGCTTGGTCTTTAAACCGGTGTTCAGGCCTTACGGGGCTACCCAGGTCTGGGACCAAAGCTTCTCCTGACCTCACCATTCCTGAAGTACCGCTTGTTCTTCCTCTGCCTGGGTAAAAGGCTAGAATTTATATCTACAACAAAGACTCTGTTAGGTAGGAAGCAGGATGGAGAGCAAGGAGACCTGGAGGAGGCACGTGAAGCAGAGAGACATGTGAAGACTCCTTGGTCCTGGACTGATTGAAACAGATGTGGGTGAGAGACCACATGGGGCAGGTTAACAAAGGCAGGGTTTTTTTTTAAAGATTTATTTATTTATTTACACAAGCACTGGGTACAGTCAGAAGCACGGGAGGGTGAGAGAATTCACCAGAGTCAGAGTGGAGAGTAGAGCAGGCAGAGTGACGAAGTACACTGTTAAGGGGAGCAGCAGGCAGCAGGAGAGGTCTGCGCGCCACGTGGGACCCTCGCCTGGTAGTCGGGAATCAAACTGGCGCTGCAGAGGCTGCGGGCAGCTTCACAACCCAGTGCTCAACCGCTGCGTCACCAGGGAGGTCCACAAACGCAGTTTTTATCCCAATTTTGCTCTTTTCCTCCCAGACTTGTCTGACCGTTTCTGACTCTTTTCTATGGTTCCCAGCCGGAATATGTTTTAGCTGGTGGCAGGCTTTCGGTCCTTGTTTTGGGCCAACCCTGTTTGGCTGGATGTTTACTCACAAGGGGATGGGTAACTTTGGGTGCTAGATTTGGAAACTATATTATTGTCTTGTCTATATTGCACGCTAATTGTATTAAAGTTTCTTTCCATTAAAAGCCTTATATGTTTTGTCTTGATGCAGCAGATGGCAGAAACTATTTACAGTGGGCGGGTTGGCAGTTCTGGAGTGCCCTTCTCCCTGCCCTTTAACAGAAAGTCCTCTAAGGATGGTTTCTGTAGTGCCTGGCTTCTCTGCTCCAGTCATTTCTAGTATCTCGTCAAAGACAGGGAAGGTAAGGATCAAGTACTAGCAGACATACCACCTCTGTGTTGTTGTGACTTTTTTTCAGATATAAATATGAACGATCACACTATCAGACCTTGAGCGTTACACTTCAGTGCTATCATTTCATGGTGCCCACTTCCATCCTCCATTCCCTCACTCTGGCTGAGAATGAGGACTTTCCAGGTGTGGGTAGTAACTGACAAGGTAGCCAACGCCATCTAGATGCTTGGGCAGATAAGACTGGGCAACTAAAATACACAATTTGCCTGGAGCTCCATGGTTACACAAAGGCTTCACCTGCATGGCTGCCTGGAGGAGTTTATAATTTCATCAGGGAGACAAAGGTTATGAAATAAACTAGACATGTCCCTGGGAGAGGTTTCTGGGTTAAAACGAAAAAAATGTGGAGGCCTCTCGGCGTGCGGGAGGAGGGTGGAGAAAACAGGCTGGGGAGACTGTGGTGCCACGTTACTTGCGAGCCGCTGAATGCTCCCGGGTCAGAGACACTTGGGGAAGTGAAGAAACTGGTTCCATGCGAAGAATGTAGAACCGAATTCTCTCCTCTCTGGAAGCCTCCCATGGGCGCCAGGGACTCCCACCCCAGTGAGCATGGAGAGGGGTTCCGGGTACACAAGTATGTGAAGCTAAGCCATGCAAACGTCAAAGGTGCTTGCCGGGAGGTCTGAGTATCTGCAGTCACAGGGCCCAGCCCAAGCCCTCGTCCTCCCTCTCCCAACTACAACTCCCAGGAGCCTCCGCGCACACGCACGTCCCATCTTTCACACGGCGCCGCGCGCGCTTCATCCGGTCTTCTGCCACGCTCCCGGAATCCGCCCCCTTTCAGATCAAGCGATATCCTACCTGCTCCACGCTTTCAGGGGTGGTGTTGAGAAGGTTATTGAGTTCCACGAACATTCCAAACAGAGATTAGCTCCCGGACAGGGGACTGGGGTTGCGGTGGAGACGACCCGAGGTTGAAGAGCAACACACACCGCTAGAGAACCCGGGCGCGCGGAAGAAGCGCGCATGTGCAACGCCACTTCTAGGCGCCTGCCGCAGCCAATCAGGGGGCGCGTGGACATGGGTCTCAGCGGGCGCACGCGCGGGAACTGGGCTGCTGGAGGCGCCGGCGGGAGGTTCCTTCCCTGCTCTGCCAACGCCCGGCGCGGCTGAATCTCGCTGCGTTGCTTTGGCCTCACTCCTTGCCCAATCCGGAGCCTTCTGGCGGTGCAGTCTGTCCTCTCCCACGTACCTGCTGTGGTTCCTACTGCTACAGTCTCGGGCCCACCCTTGCACAAAGCAAAAAACAAACACGGAATTGTATCTTGACACTTTCTTGGGAGAAAAGCAAAATAAGCGAATAATGGTGTAGGGGTAGATTTTGAAGTTGAAGAGGTGGTCAGGGTAGGTTCATTAAGAAAATGTGACTGGCACATGCCTGTATAGCTCCTCTTTAGGGCCTTTGCACCACCTGTTCTCTTTCCTGGAATGCTCTTTTCCGAGGTACTCAGCCCATTTTTTTTAAAAATTCCCAACTTCCTTCAGGTCTTTACACAGCTGTCCAGGGAGGTAAGGCCTTCCCTGAGTAATTATTTCTTTTATTTCTTTCATCGCATATCTGTCTAACATTTAGTCTTATTTTAATCCAGTAAGCCTCAGATCACCAGGAACAAACCTGTAATTAGACAAAGTCAAGTTTATTGATAGATCGCAATGAATGCAATGAGTCTGCTCCTGGTGGAGCAAAGGAGAGTTGATTTAAGATCTGGGGAAGGATGGAGTTCAGGTGAAATTTAAATGAAGCAGTGTTTTGATAGGTTCAAAGTAGAGTTCAGATATGTGTGAAGGGGTCAACATCTGACCAGGACTGCAAAGTAGACCCAGGTTTCCGTGGAAACTACAAGGTTAAGACATGTGGAATGTAGTCACTTATCTGAAGCTATACACCTGGGCTGTATATCCAGACTACTTTTCTTGTGCAAGGGATTTTGACCTTCCAGCAAAGAACGGGATGTTTCACACTTATTGATAGGTGAGAAAGAAAAAAAGTTGCCCCTGGCATCCAGGAACTCTCTGGGTGAGCACTCAGAGCTAGGTCTTGGTATTCTGTAGAATATAAACAATTTTATAAAACATCAACATCAGATGAATGTGATCAATCTAGACAAAACTAGACCACTCTATAATCATGTTTAACATAAACCATGAACTAAGAGCTCTCTAGCAGTCACCCTCAGTGTCTTATTCTCCTTCTGGGAAGGCACCACCTCTGCAGAACTCAACAATAGGAGCATCCTTCAGCTTCCCTTCTCCTCTTCTGCCTTATGGTGACTATCATTGCTGGAAAACATCACTTAGCCCTGTCCAGCCTCTCTCCAATACCTGCTGCATGTACACCATAGTTTCCCTTTGCCTTCTTGTCTCTAAGTTGATGAATTGTTTCCTCCCTGTGCTGCCTGACAGTTATACCATCTTTGACAAGAGTCTCTATAATCCAGAGTTTTAAAAGTGAACCCACACATGATTGGGGAATGAGGGGGCAGGGGAGTGAACTCACAAAAATCATAGACTTATGATTTAGGAACAGGGACTCCCACCCCAGTGGGAGAACAGAAGCGAAGGAAACAGAACAGAAACGAAGCAAAGTCTAAGTAATTCTGTGAATATCCACAAGAGGGCAGAAGACATCAGCTAATGCTACTGGTAAATGAGCCTGGAGGCTGCATTCCAAAGCATTTGGCCAGGGTCCCAATTGCTGACACTCCTAGAGGTCAAAACCTGCAGTGCAACTATTAATAGCAATCTCCACCCCCTACCCCCCACTGCTGCAGTTCCCCTTAACCACCCTCTCTGGAAGCCCAGCAGTGGACTCCTTTTGAGCTCTCAAGCTCTGGCGTCTCCCTGCCTCAAGAATGACCCCATCCCCCAACCCCTCCATGGCTTCCCTCCACATCAAAATAAAAGCATTAGTCTTCTCCTTAGCCCACTGAGATCTGGCCCACCACTACTCTGAACTCTCCTGCTGTTCATTTCAGGCCTTCTGGCCTCTTTGTTGCTTCTTACGGCCCCAGATATAACCATACTCATGATCTTTGTGGTTCTTCTGTTCCCTCTGTCTGTAAGACTCTTCCTCCAGGCCTGTGAGACCTGCTGGCACTTCCTTTTTGATAGACAAAGAGTATATCACCCAGACTCCCTTTCCAAAAGGATATGCAGAGAAAGCTCTCACCAGTTAATCTCAACTCCCAGTTTTGTTGGGGTTGACCTCAGCATGGAGCCTCACCAGATGTGACATTCTTCCCAGGCAGCCCTCACCTGGTGACTGGGAAAAGCTGGGACTATGGCAAGAGAGTATAGGGGGATTCTCTGTACTTTCTACCCAATTTTGCTGTCAACCTAAAACTACTCTAAAAATAAAGTCTATAAGAAGGGGGGCAGAGGGGCCTTCCCAGTGGCACAGCGGGTTGACCACAGCACTGTGAAGCTGACCGCAGCCTCTGCAGTGCAGGTTCAATTCCTGTCGGCCAGGGAGATTCCCACCTGGCGCAGCAGACCTCTCCTGTTGCTCCTGCTGCTCCCCTCAGCAGTGTATTTTGGTTGTCTGCCTGTTCTGCTCCCCGCTCTGTCTCTGGTGAATCCTCCCGCGCCTCTGGCCTATACCCCAGCTCTTGTATAAAAATAAATCTTGGGCCTCCCTGGTGGTGCAGCAGTTGAGCGCTGGGTTGCGAAGCTGCCCGTGGCCTCTGCAGTGCCGGTTCGATCCCCGGCTGCTCCCCGGCCACCGCAGGAGGGTCCCACATGGTGCGCAGACCTCTCCAGCCTCCCGCTGCTCCCCTCAGCAGTGTACTTCGGTCCTTCTGCCTGCTCTGCTCCCCGCTCTGGCTCTGGTGAATTCTCTCACCCTCCCGCGCTTCTGACTGTACCCCCAGTGCTTGTATAAATAAATAAATAAATAAATCTTAAAAAAAAAAAAAAAAAAGTCTGATTAGCTGCAAGTTGCTCTGCTTCAGAGACCAAGTGGAAAGACCACAGAGAAAATGTCTGAGGAGCCCAGCTAGGTTGTGTCCAGCTGTGTGGGTCTTAACTAGGTCAAGCACTAGACATGTGAGTGAAGGAGTCTTTAGGGTGATGATCCCCGCCCTATCCACCCTCTGACTAAAAACTCACAGACACCCTGAATCAGAACCAACCAGCTGAGATGCTCCCAAACTCCTGACTAGCAGAAACCAGAAGTAGTGAATGATTCTTGGGTTTAAGTCACTGAGGTTTGGGGGCTATTTCTTACACAGCCATCGAAACTGGAACACCTCTGTAAGGCCTTTTCTGACTACCCCTTTTAATATTTCAAGCCACTCCCCAGTATTATCACCTCATCTCCCTTCTCCCCCAGCACTTACTGCCACCCACATACTATACATTTTAATTATTTAATGTCTCCCACACGAGGATGCCTACTTTCTAAGGGCAAGGAGTTTTTGCCTGTTGGGTTCATTGTTGGATCCCTGTGTCTAGGCCAATCCTTTGCACACAGTAGGTGCTCAATGATTGTTGAATGGAATGAAGGATTATTCCCAGTAAAATTGCCAACAACATAATTGAGAATAATAAGCACTAAAGTCTGCATGGTGATTATTTCTGGGGAGGGAGGAAGAGGAAGCACATGTACGGGGGGTGTGTATTTTCTTAAAAGAACTAAGGCAAATATGGGAGAATGTTTTTAATCAAAAAAATTTTGCCACATTTATTCTCTATACTTTCTATAATCAAAAATTTTAAAAAAGATATTTATTTATGCATAGAAGAACTAGGGTGTAGGCCAGAGGTGCAGGGCAAGGTGCGTGTGGGGGGATTCTCTGGTGAATGGGGAGTGGGGAGCAGAACAAGCAGATTTACCAAAATACACTGCTGAGGGGAGCAGTGGGCGAGACAGGAGAGGTCTGCTGTGCCATATGTGGGTCAGCTCCCAGGCAGGAATGGAGCGCAGGCCCTGGAGATGATAGCGCTGAGACTTAACCCCTACATCACCAGGGAGACCCCAATAATCAAATTTTTTTAACAAAAATAAAATTTGTATATGAATGCTCTATAAGTTTTCTTTGTAATACACAAAAAATGGGGATAAATCAAAAGCCCAGCAAATGATGACTAAATAAGCTGTGGAATACACTTAGTTATAAAAAGGAACAAAATGTTTTACATATAATACCCAGAACCATTATGCTAACAGAAAGAAGAGAAAGAAGTCTTATCCAAAAGAATACACACCATTATGCTAAGAGAAAGAAGTGTAATTCCACTTAAAAGAAATCTGGAGAGGAGCCAGCCTCAGTCTTCCTGGAGGACAAGCCCAACTCCCAGGCTTACATTCTTTTTTTTTTTTTTTTTTAATATATTTTTTTTAATAGAGGCATGTTTTATTTATTTATTTGTTTGGTGTTTGTTTGTTTCGTTTATACATGCACTGGGTACAGTCAGAAGCGCGGGAGGGTGAGGGAATTCACCAGAGCCAGAGCGGGGAGCAGAGCAGGCAGAAGGACCAAAGTACACTGCTGAGGGGAGCAGCGGGCGGCAGGGGAGGTCTGCACGCCATGCAGGACCCTCCTCCGGTGGCCGGGGAGCAGCCTGGGATCGAACCGGCGCTGTGGGCAGCTTCGCAACCCAGCGCTCAACCGCTGCGCCACGGGGGAGGCCCCAGGCTTACATTCTTTCTTCCACTCCTAGCTCAAACCCTCCCTCCTGAGTGACCCTGGGCAATTCATGGCCTCTCTCTCGGCCTCGGTAAATTCCTACAGAGGCTGAAATCCTTCTATCCCGACATACCATGATTCTGTGATTCCCTCCCTGCCAATGTCACCTTGGGAAATTGCCTGGGTCATTCTGCAGGTGGCTCAGGCCTCTGTGCTCTGAGGCAGGGTGAGGATACCCCCCTACCACTTCCACTGGAGTGCACTCCTCAGGCAGACCTGATGAGGCTCGATGCTAAGCACCTACCAAGTGGGATTGAGGCTTCCTGTGTTCCCCAAAAGCACGAGTTGTGGAGGGCCAGGGATCTGGCAGTTTCTCCTTACCTTTTGTTCCTGTTTCT